AGGTAGGTAGGTAGGTAGGTACTATGGGGTGCAGCTCGGAGCCTCAATGAAGGGCATAGAGGCGCTACGTCGTCATTGCCAGCTTTTTACTTCTTGGTACAGCTAGCTGCTTCTTGCTCTTCAAGCTCCAGTCCATGTTCCAACCTAGGTCGTCACCACTCTGTAGTACGGTGCTTTTGGTACATGAAATGTAAACTATACAGGGACCTGATGAAACGATTCAGAGGGGGTCCATAAATTCCAATCCCAGTGTCAGCGCTTCCAGCGTGTTGGCAGCCTCTTCCACGCCGTTCACTAATCTGGCCGCAAGGCGTGACAGCAAGGCGGAGAATGTTGACCACTGGGAAAGCAGCTGCAGTTCGCTTTCCTGCAAAGTCACGGCGATGCCTGTAGCCGGAGATCACCTGCGATGTCAGCGGCAGAATCAGCGCATCCACGCTCTGCGCAGGAGGCGACGGGAGTCGCTGAAAGGACCTCGGTTTCGTCTGGTGCCCACCGCAGGTTCACGACTCAGGGCCGGGGGAGCACATCCGAGCCTTCAAGAAAAGGCCGAAGGGTTTCTGACCCTAGCTTTCCCGGAGCTGTCGATGCCCTGGAGGCAACCGCAGAATCCTCTCCGGGGCTCTGGCGTGCCAAGCGCCGGGCCGAGAAAGTTGCCATGAGGCTCCAGGCCTCGCAGCAGCTCAAGCTTTGGGACGCATTGGGACTATTAAGGTATTAGAGTGTTAGGGTGTTCGAGTATTAGGGAATTAGAGTATTAGTGTGTTAGGGTATTAGGGTTTACGGGTAGGTCTTCGGGGCTTTGGTCTAGGATCTCGGTTTCAGGGTCTAGGGGTTTGGGATATCGCCCGTTACTCTCGAAAGGCTTTTGGCAAAGGCCTACAGAGAGGCCACCGGGCCGCGTGTCGGTAAACACCTCAGGCAGCAAATCAAAGTCAGGACCGTCTGCTGCAACATCGCATCGCTCAGGCAGACGACAAAAAAGAGATCACACTTTCACCACAGCCGAGCCCCACGCATATCCGTTTTCAGGATCCTTGCAAGCATTGTCTTCGGCTCAGGTCGTTCGGGCACGGGAACTCTGTGTGAACTTGAAGCAATGTCTGCAAACCCACGACATCTCGAAACATGCGGTCCTCCATTCGCCCAGTTTTCGCTTTGAGACAAGCAGACAGACCAGACAGACAGACAGACAGACAGACAGACAGACAGACAGACAAACAGACAGACAGATGTACAAACGTATAAACATGTGTTGGAATACAGACATCTTATATACGTGTCAGAAGCACACGGCATGCATGAATATGTACCTCTATATATATATATAT